AAATGCCTTGTCCCTTATCTTCATTGCATGTATTAGAGATGAACTGAGTTCTATCTCTGAGGTCCTGAGTGATCTTAGCTTTAAAGTTGATGGGTATCAGTCCCTTAGGTTGCTAAGCTTTCTGTAAAATGGAATTAATTGTTTCTTCTGATGTTGTTTTTAAATATTATTTATAGGCTTATACTATTGGCTAGGGGCTTCAGCTGAGATTGGGATTCCCATATGTTAGGCACAGTACCTATATGTATAAATATATTGTTTCAGCCCCAGTGAAACTATATTTTAGACAGACAGAGACTAGAAGAACAGAATTATCATCCTCTACTTCAGTGACAGGGAAGGCAGTCACAAGAAAGATTTCAAGGACTTGCCCAAAGTCTGGCCAAAGTGCAGAGCTGAACTCAGGTGCCAGTCCCATGCGAACTGTACCAGATCATCCTTCATCTATACATAAAGAATTGTGTACAACTACAGTACCCTATAAATTAGAACTGATGATAGTGACAAGTTGAACAGGTATTTGATGGTCTGGCCAGAGGCTTCCAAAATGCCACCTCAAAGGCATCCTCTGACTAGACAGATGGTCCTCAAGTTGCAGGGGAACACACACACACACACACACACACACACACGCACACACACGTGTGCGTGTGTGTAACTTAGTTTTTAGGCCTGTGCATTAAAATATCTGGGTCTTTTATAGTGCTGTCATAAATTTTAATGGTAGTCATTCAAAATAAGCTAAGTTTTCTTTCAGTGTCTAGAATGTTGATATACAGGATGAATGGGCTATACTTCTTACTACTTGGCTAGAATTTGAATCATCTGTTAAACCCATAGCTTGCACTGGTCTTAAAAGGAACAAAGGCCAGCTAAGAAATGGAGAACTGGGTTCAATTTTTTTTTCTAAAGGTTCAAATTTAAAAATAATAAAGCCCTTCTGTGATGCTCCTGTTATGTCTAAACCAGCTTTAGTCAGTTCAACTCCTTGCTTTCTTCCCATACCTCCACTAACAATTATTTTTATTCTAATGCCTCAATAAATATAAATGCCTTTCTCAGATGTAACTATTTAAAATGTACATGTATACATAATGTCAGACCAAATACTTTATGAGAATGCCCAGTTGCAGTTAAAATTAATTGTAAAATATCCAGGATAATAAAAAGACTGACCTGGTTCAACTTGGGGAAAGAAGAAAATCATTCTGTGTATATAAATCTAAAAGTGGAGAAGAAGGGGCAAAGGCTGAGATTAAGGCACTTTAGAGTAGCCCCTGGGCTTCAGAGAGAAGAGACCCACAATGAAAACAATGGTTGAGTGTTGTTATAATGCTAAATTGTTAAGTACCAAGGACAAAAATTTCAGAAGCAGCATGATGCTCAATTTAAGATAGCTTAAAGGACCTGATTTTCAGAGGGGCAGATATTCCTTTAAGGGTCTCTCAACTTGGACACCCCAAATCACTAGGTGTTGAAGACCTTGGCACAAATCCCATTGTTCCCAGTGTGGTGAGATGCTAAGTGCTCTCCCGTCAATGTGGCCAATGAGAGATACTTTGCATCATGGAGGTGGAAATCAGTCCTAAAAGAAGTAGCATATAGTTTTCCTTGAATATTTAGGACTACACGAGATTTATCAGTTAGTGAAAATCAGCCTTATTTTATTAAGTCTGAGCCAGTCCCCATGCTGCTTGTGCTTGGTGGATTTATACCAACCGATGATCTGGCTTCAGGTATTTTGGATTTGGTTAAAGACCCTGTTCAAGTCCACTAAACCTGGTAAAGTGGAGTCAAAGTTGCTTTTAAAGAATTCATAATGCCTATCTACCTATTTTAGAATTTTGTATTGCACGTTACTATGGTATCATAACAGTTTGCAAGGTAAATTAAATCAACAATGTGATGTTTCTAATAAACTTTCTATACTCTCCTGATTTTCGTTCTTTGGTTATAGGAAGTTCTGGTTGGGTGGAATCTCTCTCTCTTTAGACATAGAAGGAAATACAAGTTGTGTGTGTAAGTGTGCACACACATGTGTGTAGGTGTATGAGTTTTGTGTTTTAGTTGGAAATGCATTTTCTGATTGATTTAGTCCTCATTTCTGTTTTCATATTATCCATGAACAGGTCATCTTTCTGATGATTTATTTGCCATTACTCTACACTACCAATTAATCTGTGGTTTCTGGCAACTGATTTCCACGTCTTTGTGTGGGAGAGCTGGTTCTGTTAGTCATGTGGAATTGGTTTCTTTTTGTAGATGACCTGAGCTCCATAAATAGGAGTTCCTTTATGTGTTTGCAAATTATCTGTGAGCATTTGTGGCAGTTCATATGCAGCAAAAAAAAGCTTTGTATGTGAGAGTACTTCTAGATTGAACTCTCACACCAGTATTAAAGTGCATTAGTATACCCGTTTTAACCCTCTATAAACCAATTTGTAAATACTATCTTGCTTACCAAAACATTCAAACAACAGCAGCTGTGAATACTAGCAAAAGACTTATTTGCAAGAGTATTAGTGAGTATGTATATATTTCCATTTTTCTTTCCTTGCTTAGCATTCCTCCTAAGACATAAAGTTCTGTATGATTTTTAGTTCTAAGTATAACCAGGTGACTAGGGCTCTGTTCATAGAAGTTGCCTTCTAACAAGGGAGCATTGATCCATTTTTCACCAGTGAACTTGAATACAAAGTGAAAGAGACTGCAGTAGTGACGCTGTGTTTTACCTGTATCACATAAAGAACCAAGGAGGTGGTGGAATTATTAGCAAAAATTAAATGATGAGTCTAAATAATAATTTGTGAAACATGCAAGAAAAAGGGTAAAGCATGCTTGAAATACTAAAAATAACAGAATCTTTTCATACAGCAAAAGCCCATAGGAAGATATTTTTGGTACTGGTCATATTTATTATCTCATCTAGGTCTTTTGTTTTTATTTGTTGGCAGTAGTTTTATGCTTTTGGTCTATTTGTTTAAGCTACATACAAATGGATCAAATTCTTCGGTATTTCTTTGTGTCTTTGAAGAAGATGGAACGGAAGAGCCAGGATCATGAGAAGGGCAAACAAAATCACGTTAGCAAGAAAGTTGATTTTATTATTATTATTGTTATTACTTTTGTTGTTTGTAAACCCTTGAAAATATACATCTTTCTCCTTTAAAGTTCTTATTCAAGGCATGAATGTGAGAGTTCTGAAGGGACTTTGGGACTGCGGTAAAAAATCGTTGTCATAGTAACAGAAAGGGAAATAGGCCTAGCTCACCTGGGACTTTAACTTACTGCAAAAGCTGATTTTTTTGGGGGGGTGGGGGGGTAAGGAAAGCGCTCAGCAAGAGAAATTAATAAATAAATCCTTCATTGTATTCTAAACCAGTTCTTTAACTATTTAAAATATTTTTATACCTATATCTTCCTTACAAACTTCACAAATTTCCTTGTCCTGAAAAAAAATTGTTTTTTTATCCAAGTACTAAAAGGGAGTTGCAAAAAAATATTTGAATTCATGAAAGAATTTCTTGCTGTTCCTGTTTACATCGCGAAAGCATGGCTGTTTCAATTTTTAATCTGACAGGTGCAAGTGTTTGCTAACAATTGTGTAGTCACTCATATTTCATAGAATTCACAAGTTTAATAGGTGACTAGATTAGTGCACAGGGAAGACTACTTATTTGTAGCTTCACATGGAAGAATTTTGCACCTTAGAGCCTGTAGAGAAACAGCTTTCTAGTGATAGTATTCCAAAGTGCAAAATGCAAGCAGTTTAGTCTGTAATGTCCACTACGTCTGTGAAGACTGCTGTGATGAAATCTAGTTAAATGCAAACTACAACAGCAGTGAATTATAAAGCGGCAAATATTTGTGTGTTTCATCAAATAAAAGTAATTTATGCGGTTGCTTTACAACCACTAGCATATATACAGGCTTTAATTTATCCCTTACAGATTGCATCAGCTCTCCCGTATTTCCTTAACTTGTGTTATCCTCTTTTTTAATAGTTGGTTTAAGAGTACAATTTGGATCATCAGCAGTTCTCTGTACTTCACTAAAAAGTGAATACCTAAAAGGTACTTTCGACATATAATGTAGCCAGCTTTTTTTTTTTTTAAGCATCCAAAGTAATTTGGGGTTGTACGCCTCTCCATGTCACTTTGTGTCGTTCTTATAATAGCATTATCCTTCCAACACAGTTGCACAAAAGAACTACAACAGTGATTCTCAACTCTTTTAGACAAAAGGCAATCCTTGTTAGGCTCAAGATACCTCTCCTTAGATTCAGATAACCCCTTGGAAAATGCCAGCTCTTAGTTTTCGCCCATTTTTTTTACTACAAAAAATAATAAAGCAGCTTTTCTCTTGGAAAGACTCAAGGACCACAACAGGGTACAATGTTTTTAACATTATGGATTCCTGTTTAAAAACTCTGGGTTTATCTTGTGAATCATGTTTGCACATCTAAATGTTAACAATGTGTGGCACCCTATGGCACCCATGAAAATAGCTCAAGGTACCCCAGGGTGTGGTGGCACCCTGGTGGAGAATCACTACCTACACAGTCAGCAGAAGAAACTGACTATATGACAAAGGGAAAAATAAGTGAAATTAACTAAAGAAAAAGTTAAGTCAGACATACAAGGTAAGGAAAGTCAGGAAAAACAGATTGAGATTCTCAGCTGGAGTAAACAGGTATATCTCTTTTAAAGACATTGGAATAGTGCTTGCACTTGGAAGGGTTTTAATATCCCTTTTCAATTACAATCACATTAGATGCTACTTACAGGTCAAACGGTTAAAAAAAAAAAAAAAAAAAAAAAAAAGAAAAGTTCAAATTTTTTTTAAGTTGTCAGGTTCCAGTTAAATGAAGCCTGTCTGTTGATCTACCATCATGTAAATTGCTCTGCTCTGATACACAACTGTATCAACATGAAACTGGTTGATAATGATAGATGTTAATTTACTGTTAATAAAAATGACACAGTCCCTTATCATTGCAGATTCTTCTTAAAATTTTTCCTCAAGTGCAATCAGAATTGTCTGAAAACAGCAGGGAACCCCAGAGATATGAGACGGTTCCAGGTAAGTGTTACGAGACTCAGCACTAAGTTGTCTTTTTTTTCCTTTTTTAAAATATGTGTGTGCGTGTATTCACCTACATTGTTAGTAATAAATGTAATGCCCTTAAATGATAAACCTGATAAACAATAAATAAATGATAAATAATACTGTTAAAGCTTTTCTTTATCTGCTGTGTTTAAGCCTCTTTTCCCCCCTTCCCTGCTTTCCCCACTCTGAATCCCGAAGGGGGAGTGATGTACTGTACCAACCAGCACTGGATATTTGATTTGACACCCTCGGGCAAAGCACTCGCGCATACAGCTGCCCACAGCAGGGATCATGTTTGTGATACTTAGATGCCTCAGAATTTTTCAAAGTAGCTATGTACATGGTACACAAGCAACACCATTCCCCCTCCCCTCCTTTCTAGCTCCCTGACTTTTTAACTCTTTCATAACCTTCCTTTCAGCCTCTTGAAAAACAGCAGCCAAAACAGTCATGGTCACTTTAAGATCTCATGCGGCAAAGCAACAAGACCCATGGGACAATGACCCAGCTGCTTTGCAGTGAAATCTGCCACTGGTTTCATCATAGTTGTCGCTGATGTATTGAAAATACCAGCTAATAAAAACACAGAGGGAGGTGAAGTGTGTCAGGTTGGAAACACCAGCAAGAAGAAAGGCACAGTTTCTCCTTGCCCCTATGCTAATCTTTTGAACAAGTAGCTTTATTTCATAAATATCTCACTTGTAATTCACTCCTAACAAAAATTAAACAACCTTTCCCCCCCCAAATGTTCCCTGCGCATATGGGTAGTTTGGTGATAAGAAAGGTGCCATTTTTAGAGGCTGGTGAGGAAAACTGACCTCAAAACTGGTTCATCTCTTGGTCAAGTAGACAAGTGACTAGATTTCCAGTGAGAGGAACTGCATTTGGTCCCTGACTTCTTCACTAGCTCCATGAGCAACCTTGGGCGGGTCATTTCACTTCTCTTTGCCTCAGACTTTCCACCTCTAAATGAGGATAATAAAGTTCACTCACCTCTGTAAATGCTCCTTGGCCCTGATTCAGGAAAACACTTCAGAATGTATATATGTCTTTCCTGAATTAGGGCCTAGGAAATCGCCAAATGAAAAAAAGAGTATGTTTAAGTGGGGGCTAGTATTCATGATTAATATTACTATTAGAGCTGCTCCGCTTGCATCTTTCATCAGCTGTTCTATCATTATCATCATTGATACAAACAATGAGTGCAGTCAGTTTGTAAAGGGAGGCATGGCTTTCTGACTGTCAAAGAACACTTGAAATTATGAGATCTGGGTTGTTCTCCTGACTCTGTAATAAGACTTTTTTTTGTAGCTGCTTGGATAAATTACTGCACCTCTTCATGCTCCAGAGTCATACTTTGTGAGAATTCTGAGAACTGGTCAAAATGTTGCCATCAAAGCCTTCTGGACAGAATATAGCTTTAATGATAAAACCAATGTGTTCTGTCAAAAATGTTTGTGTTTTTACTGTAAATTTGAAAACTAAAAATTCTGAATGCTGGAAATAAAACTGGAGTGTTTGTTTAACTTTGAAAATCTGAGGCAGTAAAGAACATTTTGAAACACTCTTGATTTTTTTTTGTGGGAACATAAAAAGTTTCCCAATCAGCTGTATTTACCAGTCAGTGGGCTCAGAGGCTCTGAAGTCTCTGAGTATTTTATGGTTTGTAGTTCAGCTGGTTATAAGCGAGAAGAAGTGATTCTGTAACGCAAGAAGAAAGTTTAAGGAGCCTGCCTTCAGTATTTGTACAGAAACTAGTGCAGTGTAATCCCAGTTGGTAACTGGAGTTTATGCTGGGGCCAAAATACAAATAACAATATTGGTTACAGAATGACCTGAAGCCAAACACTGGCTCCAAACACATCTAAACTTTTAGAGAGATGCAGTGGTGATTTCAGTCTTTCGCAGTGAGTAAAACCCGCTGAATTTGGACCAAGTTCTGAACTGCAGAGAAGTTTGGATTGGAATCCAAATTTTCTGGCTGTGTTCTGCCTATGGTGTTGGCTTTTATTTCACGTTCTACCGCCTTGTTTCTAAGATGGTGATGTTATTCAACCTGACTGAATTTATATTTCCAGTTGAACATGGAACAAGTAGAATGAAATCAGTCTTACAGAATTACATGGTTACTGAGTGATTATCTTTAACATATCCACCTGGCATGCCCCTCTCACGTGCAAGGAAGTGCAGCCTTTCAGTAGTTTTTGAACTTTTGACCAAAATCAGCAGCTTATTGGAGATGAGCTAGGATATGCTCTTCCTCATCTGGGCTCTCTACCTCACTGCACGCCAAGCCTGAGAAGTCAGGGCCAAGTGAAACTCTGGTTTGTTTTGCAAGGCTCATATAAATTCCTGTAATTTCCACCCTTGTGGGTTCATGCCCTTCAAGTTTGACTTCAAACCCAAAAGTTCATCAAGAGACTTGGTCTAAGCCATCAGGTTTGTTCTAGTTCTGTGTTAAAAGTATTATGCTAGGATGATTGTGATTCATAATAATAAAGCTGATCCCATTTGGAAAAAAATAGCAAAACTTGGATTTATTTAAGTGGGAGAGGAACCTGAGCCTAAATATGTCCAAACTGGGCTTATATTAATGAGCTCTTAGGTTAGCTAGAGCTGCATTAACCATTTTTTTTATAAAAACCGAAAAGTAGGCAATTTAGGTGGAAAAGTAACAACATTTTTCAGCAGCCTTAGTGTGTAGTCACATTCTGTTGCAGGTAAGGACTAGGAAGGTTAGATTAACCAAGAGTAATCAATGAAGGTAGGCAATATATTTTTAAAAAAACCTTGCTTGAACACAGTGCAATGGATCAAGACATATATTAAACTTGGCTGGGAATTCCCTTCTTTTAAATCCACCTGATTCTTTTCTCTCTCAATTTGTGCAAACACCTGTTCATCTGCCTTAGTGTCAGACAGAAGCTGCAGGCACACCCTCCGAGTGTCAGAAGTTAAAATATGCACATCATCCTAAAATACTGGTATGCTCTCACAGTCCAAACACATGTTCATTTTCATTCCACTTGTTAAGCTTTACATCAACAAAGGTAATGAATGTGCCAAGTTTTGTGATTAGGTTAGAAAGGACAGCTGTCAATTCTAGAACTGCAAGACCATCTTGATTTTGTAAAGCAGAGTATGACATGTAGGAGGAAAGAGGGATAGTTTATTGATTCATGATGTAATTCATTAGTTTTCATTCTTGTGCCACACACAGAAAAAACTCGGCCGTTTTCTTGAATAAAGTCTTAGTACTGCTGTTATTAAAACTGTAGTCTTTCAGTATCCTGTGTACTTGTTAAACTTTACTTACTTAAGTAAACTGATTTCATACGACTAACTTTAAGTCTGAGTATGCAGATGTATTTTGCAGGATCATATTTATTTCTACTGTAGCAGCACTTAAAGGAACTTAAAAAGGGATTGGAGACCTATCATACTAGACGATCTAAAAACAAACACAACCCTTTCAACTGCTCACAGTCTGAGATGAGGCTGAAATCTAGTAGAGCTGTTGAAACTGACAGGTTTCCATCCAAAGACACTTCAGAATTTAGTGTGCTGAAAGCATGAATCCTACCATTGACTTTGCTGTTTGACATACAGTCCCAGATGCTATAGGCTGAACTCATACTGTACAGTATTTTTTGAGTTATTTAAGCACAGGATCCTGTTTTTGTGATGACTGGAAGAGTGTCAGGTAAATGGTTTTGATTAGAGATGGATGTGAATTGTTTGGGCATGAATTGGATCATAAAAAGAGTTCAAGGGTGTTGAGATCCAGGGTCTCATTTTTAGGAATGCTCCAGACCTAAGCTATGGCATAGACCAGCTATGACATATTTAAAAACATCTCAATGTTAAATATCATTTATAGCAGACAGTTAAAAAAAGATGAATTGTAAATTTAATACAACTCCAGATGCCTGCAAGTTTTTACTCTAGTCCTTGAGTTTTAGGAACAACACCAGCTGCTTTGTGATCTCATCAAGTGTTTGAAATGTGCTTTGCTACTGGGCAGGAGCTTCACAGACATAATGAAAATCACTTAGCTTATGGCCTTTTTGACCAACACTAAAGCCACTTTTCTACTGTTGAAATAAGCCACATATTTCAAGGCATGATGATTTTGTATTGTTAAATTACATCTAGCATAAATGTACTTTTATTGTGGCTAGCACACCTCTTACTTGCAAGCAACCTTCTGGATTAGTCAGGAACAAAAACCTGCCTTCTATTGCTGATTCTACCTCTGACTCAATCTGTGACCGTGAGCATGTCAAAACATCTAGTCAGCCCTTCTCTCCATCTATACATTGGCACATCTGTACCTTAAGGGGTGTTTGTGAGGTTTAAGTAATGTTTTCAAAGTGTATGGAAGTACTTGGTTGAGGCTGTATAAGTGGAAGGCAGTATTTATAAAACCAGAACTTTTGATGGAGGAAGCCAATTGCCATGAATGCTCAGATTTTGTGTTCATGTCACTCAAAATCCTGGCTGCCACCAGAGGGATTGAAAGAAACCCACTGGAGGTAAAACCATAGAATGTTACACTTGAACTAAAATGTTGTCAAGACAGTAGTTCCTAACTTTATCTCATCCCCAGTGCAACTGTAGAGACTGTAAAGGAGTCATCTGCTGTATTGTTATATTATATGAATCAGGGGTGAGATCTGAAATGGCACAATGCTGTCTTATACCAGCTGATGATCTGGCCTGTTTTTGTTTGTCTGTTTGTTTTTAAAATTTGGTCGACTGTTCAATCAGCCTTACTACTGACTTTGACTTCAGCTGAACTGGAAATGTACCAGTGGTACCTTCATAGGTACCTTCGTATTCATCCTCGCTGAATTCTCAGAGGGCAGTTTCCCTAGGAGCAGTGTAGAAAAACCTGATACACTCCACTCAATTTAATGAGGATTTCTTCCAGGGAACTTGACTGAAGTCCAGTAATGCTTAACGGTAATAAC